GGTTTAAAGGGATATAATGAGAAACAGAAGGGTTTAAAGAAATAAGATGGAGAAGAGAAGGGTTCAAAGTCGAATTGGAAGGTGAAGAGAAAGGTTTAAAGGGATATAATGAGAAACAGAAGGGTTTAAAGGAATAAGATGGAGAAGAGAAGGGTTCAAAGAAATTGGAAGGAGAAGAGAAGGGTTTAAAGAAATTGGAAGGAGAAGAGAGGGGTTCAAAGGGATATAATGAGAAACAGAAGGGTATAAAGGAATAGGATGGAGAGAGAAGGGTTCAAGGGAATTGGAATGAGAAGAGAAGGGTTCAATGGGATATAATGAGAAACAGAAGGGTTTAAAGGAACAGGATGGAGAAGAGAAGGGTTCAAGGGAATTGGAAGGAGAAGAGAAGGGTTCAAAAGGATATAATGAGAAACAGAAGGGTTTAAAGGAATAGGATGGAGAGAGAAGGGTTCAATGGAATTGGAATGAGAAGAGAAGGGTTTAAAAGGATAAAATGAAAAACAGAAGGGTTTTAAGGAATAAGATGGAGAAGAGAAGGGTTCAAAGGAATTGGAAGGAGAAGAGAAGAGTTAAAATTTAGAGAAGAAAAGGGAAGAGTAGATTGAATGGAGAAAAAAAGAGAAGATAGGTTAGAGAAGAAAAGAGAAGATAGGATGGAGAAAAGAAGATAGGATGGAGAACAGAAAATAGGATGGAGAATAGATGATAGGATGGAGAAGAGAAGATAGGATGGAGAAGAGAAGATAGGATGAAGAAGAGATGATATGATGAAGAAGAGAAGATAGGATGGAGAAGAGATGATATGATGGAGAAGAGATGATATGATGGAGAAGAGAAGATAGGATGAAGAAGAGAAGATAGGATAGAGAAGAGAAGATAGGATGGAGAAGAGATGATATGATGGAGAAGAGAAGATAGGATGAAGAAGAGATGATATGATGAAGAATAGAAGATAGTATGGAGAAGATTAAAGTTTGCATAGTTTGTTAACGGCCAATGCTGTTCCGGTCCTATAATTCCGGAATGGTCGAGAACGTACAGCAATATTAATTCTTTTTTAAATAGAATTTATTTGAGAAATAGTGGAAGACGACTTTTAAAGGAAAGTTTTTAAGAAAGGTATTACTCTTGACACACTATGCATTCTAACGGGCCGTAGCATAGAGAGGGGGGGGGGGCACTGACTGAGGCCTAAATGTCCCTCAAAATTCTAGAAGGTCCACATTATGAGACAAAATGGAAGGAAATTAAAACAGAACGAAAAGGGGACCAACCTTTTACACTTATACCAAAATTAATTGTAACAAATTTATAAAGTTACAATTAGATAAAATTAATTGTAACACAATTATATAGTTACAATTGGCCCCTTTGGTAACATCAGATAGGTAGCGTATCCCTGAGATTGAATTAAATTAAGTCCTTTGCCTGAAAGGAATTGAGTTTTTGTCACAAACTCTGATTTTACTATCCCTATATCTTTGCATTTCAATGTCAGAGACCTTAGATATTTCAACCTATGAATTATTTTAGATCAAGTAATAATAGTTTGAAATATCAAAGGTTAAAACCATCAGGTTGCAAAGATATAGCGATTTGAAAATCAAAATTTGTGGCTAAAACTTAGTTCCTTTGGTCTTATGATAACTAATTTAATGACTTGGCTAAGAAAGAAACACGTTGCATATAAACCGTAAATACGAAAATGGATAATGTAAAACACTGTACAAAATATTAGTTACCAATAGTACAATGTATTGGGATTATTTAGCTACACGTGGAATTTTAAAAACATTGGTAAAAAATAAAGAATTTTGAAAACAAAATTCAAATTTAGGAAAAATCTAATTTTTTTTAGGCTTTTTATGAGCGAAGAGCTTTATTCTTTGGAAAGTGCCTGGGGTTGGCCTCGTCCTTGACTAGTTTTCACACAAAAATAAAAAATAAACTTAAAGAACACCAATTTTAAAAACGTTAACTTTCCGATTCACACTTTTTCCATTCATAAGCCTTTCATCAGCGTTTCATCAGCCTTTTATCAGCCTTTTATCATCATTTTATCAGCCTTTTATCAACCTTTCATCAGCCTTTCATCAGCCTTTTATCAGCCTCTTATCAGCCTTTCGATCAGCCTTTTATCAGCCTTTTATCAGCCTTTCATCAGCCTTTCATCAGCCTTTTATCAGCCTTTTATCATCCTTTCGATCAGCCTTTTATCAGCCTTTTATCAGCCTGTCATCAGCCTTTCATCAGCCTTTCATCAGCCTTTCATCAGCCTTTTATCAGCCTTTCATCAGCCTTTCATCAGATTTTAAATGGAAAATATAGGTTCATTTTGTGTCAGCTAGATAAACGGACCAGTCATGCAGTTTATGCAGAGCGTCCCTGATCATTTTGGATTATCTCCAAGTTTTAACGTTAAAATACGGACACTATATTCAAAATCTGCATACAAATCTTATAATAACCTCTCATACTATTTTTCAATGATTCATTCTTTTTAAACTATCTTATGAATACCTTAAATCGCAATTTAAAGCTATAAAAACGATCTAATATAATGTAGGAAACCCTGTAAATTTAAAGCTATAAAAACGATCTAATATGATGTGGGACACCCTGTAAATTTAAAGCTATAAAAACGATCTAATATAATGTGGGAAACCCTGTAAATTTAAAGCTATAAAAAAGATCATTTCATTTCATTTGTCCTGCACATCCTTTGTCCTACATTTAATTTTTCCTTCATTTCATTTGTCCTTCATTTCATTTTCCCTTCATTTAATTTGTCCTTCATTTCATTTGTCTTTCATTTCATTTGTCCTGCACATCATTTGTCCTTCATTTCATTTGTCCTTCATTTCATTTGTCCTTCATTTCATTTGTCCTTCATTTCATTTGTCCTTCATTTCATTTGTCCTTCATTTCATTTGTCGTGCACATCATTTGTCCTTCATTTGATTGGTCCTTCATTTGATTTGGCATTAATTTCATTTGTCCTTCATTTCTGTTGTTCTTCATTTCATTTCTCCTTCATTTATTTGTCCTTAATTTCATTTGTCCTTCATTTCTTTTGTCCTTCATTTCATTTGTCCTTAATTTAATTTGTCCTTAATTTCATTTGTCCTTCATTTCATTCGCCCTTCATTTTATTTGTCCTTCATTTTATTTGTCCCTTATTTCATTTGTCCTTCATTTCATATGTCCTTCATTTCATTTGTCCTTCATTTCATTTCTCCTTCATTTGATTTGGCCTTCATTGCATTTGTTCTCCATTTCATTTCTCCTTCATTTTATTTGCCCTTCATTTCATTTGTCCTTCATTTTATTTGCCCTTCATTTCATTTGTCCTTCATTTTATTTGCCCTTCATTTCATTTGTCCTTCATTTCATTTGCCCTTCATTTCATTTGTCCTTCATTTCATTTGTCCTTCATTTCATTGGCCCGTCATTTCATTGGCCCGTCATTTCATTTTTCCTTAATTTCTTTTGTCCTTCATCATTTGCCCTTCATTTCATTTGTCCTTCATTTCATTTGTCTTTAATTTCATTTGTCCTTCATTTCATTTGTCCTCCATTGCATTTGTCCTTCATTTCATTTGTCCTTCATTTCATTCGTCCTTCATTTCATTGGCCCTTCATTTCATTGGCCCTTCATTTCATTTTTCCTTAATTTCATTTGTCCTTCATTCATTAGTCTTTAATTTCATTTGTCCTTCATTTCATTTGTCCTCCATTGCATTTGTCCTTCATTTGATTTGTCCTTCATTTGATTTGTCCTTCATTTCATTTGTCCTTCATTTCATTTGTCCTTCATTTCATTTGTCCTTCATTTCATTTGTCCTTCATTTCATTTGTCCNCCCCCCCCTCCCTCTCCACTGATTTAAACTATGAAGTATCTGTGCATGTGCCATGTAGTCGTTGTACTCTTTAATTTTCATAAAATTAAAGTTAAATATTTAAATTTTAAATGGAAAAATGTGTTTTATTTTCTCCAGATAAATCTGGTTACAGTCTAAATAAATAAAGTAAACATTTCGTTAAAAAATAATTGTTTTCAATTAAATAATGTTTTCTTATATTTTCTTATGCATCAGCGTTTAAAAAATCCAGTCGTTGTGTTAAAAATAAGAGCTACCCAATTTTAAAATTGAACAAAAATTATGCCTGCAATATGTGTATCAGACCAATCGTCTTGAAACGCTGATTCCAGAAAAAACGTCAATTTTAGCCAACTTTTGATACTCACATTGGTCTGTAGTAGGCCAATTTTTTCACCTCTTATTCAGAATTTTTCTTTTTTCTTGATTTGTTAAGAAATTTTGCACTTTTTCAGAATTAAAATTAAAAAATTTAAGACTGCTTTTACGGCTTTTACACGTTACACTAATTCCTCCTTACTCCGTTTTTCAGACAAGTGCAACTCCCCTCTCAGAAATTCAAGAACAGAATTTAATGAATTTAATGAAATTAATGACCTAGCTCAACTAGGTCGCTCAATAACATACCAGTCGGTTTAGTTATCATATAAGTCATGGATAAATCATGAATCATGGATTCAAGATACGTGGTTGAACCGGTTTTAGACCTGGCTTAAATTCTTCCGGTTCCTGATTTCTCAACCTTCGGTAAAAATTTTAGTATTTAGCCTAGATAAATTATCTAGGGTATTATATTTTGGCTTAAATGCTAAACTAGTAAGTACCCCCCCCCCTCTCTTTAAGAGAACTTTTATGCCCAGCCTGCATCATTATTGATCAAGCAAACTTAATTGAACTTGACTTTGTTTCAATAAATATAAACTTTTTATACAATAAATTTGATACATTTTAAGTTTTACTGAATCAGTGAACTAATCATGTTGCTGTGTTGCAAAAACTTAAATTTCATCCTATTTATCCCCAATTCTCATTCTCATTAAAGTCAGTTTCTCTTGACACTTGTTACAGGAAAGGTCTTTTCTAAAAGAGAAGTTAGAACAAAACATCTTGGGTTGGAAAATATTTTTTTGATTCCTTTAAAATCTATTTTAAAAGATTTGTTCTTGTTGCATTTTTCAAGAGTTTTTGATAATTCTATAAAAAATTTTAACGCTCTGTATTTTTAGAAATACTTTCTTTTTAAAATATATTAAAATACTTTTAGTGAAATATTAAGCAGATGCTTTATATTAAAATCTATGATTTATAATTTCAGTTTCTAGGAACTGCATTTCTAACATTTTGAACTTCCAGCAACTTTATCTGCAGTAAATCTATGAAGTAGCATTTACAATGAAAATTAATGACACAGCCAAATTGTTATTAAAAATAATCTTTTAAATTTCTATATTTACTTTTATGAACTCCTGTTCACAACAATTTTTGGCCCAGTTCCAAGTTTTAAGTTCTAGTCTAGGCTGAGAATATGTATTCTAATGTTATCAAGCTGTCAGGCAGTAAGTCAGGCAGTTTTCGTGAGTCATATTTGGCATCTTTTATTAATAATTCATCGCAGACGAAAACTGCATATTTATGACATTTATTAGTTTCTGTTACATCATTATTGTAGTTACTGTTGAAACTCTCGCTGCTGTGCTAAAATATATAAAATGTACTGAGTTCCTGGAATCAAAGAAACACACTGTTTCTCACGCCTAAGTAAAACAAATTTCGCGTATGATTAAATTCTTATATGTCTTCAATATGATTTCTAGTAATTAACCGGAAAAATGTATTTCTCATATTTGTGTGTGAAATGTCAAAAAGTCGTACCACTGATACATGGTTCACGGGCAGAGCCGTGCCCGTAGTACATTTGAATGTCCGAGCCGGGTCAAGCTTTGCGGTCCCAGTTTGTACTGTTATACTGTGCCTAGCTCTATGGACAGGACTCTGGTGCAACAAGGTTGACGCGGTCAGACTTTTTGCTTCATGGTTGAATTTACTTTTTCCAAAGGGATTTGCGTGGGTTACCCACAAAGGATGAGACCTCAGAGACGACTGTATGAAATAATTGTATTGTCTGTTTCCTTTTATTAATGATTCCCTAGAACTATAATGATTTTAAGGCAGTGATTTTATTCGTATTTTCATATTTGACGATTTTCAGGTCGTCTTTATATTATGATCCTTAGTAAGTAACCCTTTGCATTTTTCAAAACTAAAGTGCATATTATGATAAATTCAAAACATTTTTGTTTCTTTTAACTCTTCAACTTTACGAGTTATTAATGAAAACATGAAAGATTTTAATTTCCAAAGACATAGAACATGTTTTCAGTGTATAAGTTAAAAATTCATTCCCATACGGGTTTTAGAGTAGTTACGTTAGCAAGCCTTCACTTGCGAGCCCAATTTTCGGGAGCGACATATGTGCGTAAAATTGCTGGATTAATTCATGAAACATTTTTTTATATTTCAGTTGATTTTAAACCAATTGTTTGTCTTCAACAAATTGTTGTAAACGAAACGTTATTATTCAAATTAACTCCCTTGAATCTACGTATTCTTAATGCTTTATTTTATTTCTTGTAACATTTGTGATTTAAAATATAGAACTAATAATAGCATGTGTTTCTACTATTTGAAATTTATCACGTATATTTACAATTGTCAGTTAAACAGTAATAAAACGAAGAGCTAAAGCTTACTTCAGATGTACACAACCGACCTCCCTATTAATTAATTACTCTGTGGTTAAACAGATAAATGTCATTTGTGTGTTTACATTAGAACTAAAAAGACTATTTTTTCAAAATTTGAAATATCGATAACGAAATAAATTACGTTTTTTGTGATTAAGAAAATATCTTTGCATGGTTTCTCTTAAAAAGTGACCCTCGTTAGTATTGCTACAAAACAATGGAGGATAATGTCAGAATTGTACAATTTTTAAGCAACCATAACGACGATATCTTCTATGCCCTTCTATGCCCTTCTTTTTAACTGAAGGGGTCTAAAAATTACATTTGCTAGTTTTTAAAACTTTTATTTTTTGTTTCAGAAAAATATTGTTAACACTCTTTTCTGCAAAAATAATGGTTAAAGGTGAATTTTTTAAAAACATTGAATATAAATACATTTACAAGGACACCCCCCCTTACCCTACCAAAATCTGATCTTATAATCTTAGTTTTCGCTGCAAAGGAATTTTACTAATTTAACCCCTAAATCTTTGCATCCTGGTAGTTTGATATTTCAAATTTAAATATTTGATTTTATATAATTCATAGATATAGTGTTCAGAAAATCAGAGTAATTGGTCCAAAAACTCCTTTAATGGGCCCAACATTTTTCCTATCCAATTTTGATTTTTTTTAAAGTTCTACATAAAAAAATATATTTAGCCATTTAAATTTTGCACCTGTTGTTAAAAGAAGTTCTGACGCACAAAATGATATTTTATAATTACTGTTACGTCCATTGTGTACTGCAAAATCATTGTACGCAGAACGCAAATAAATTTTCCCAGCAAATCACTTGTTACTTTTTACAATTTTTCTGCATATTTTCATGCTTTCATGGCCAAGGTTGCTGAGCTTTTCTGCACAATTTCTGCAGTTGCATTTAGGAACTGCATACGTAGAGTGAAATGTGAAGTTGCAGTTAGAAAATGAACACTTGACATTCAATTTAAACTTCAAAGATAAAAAAATAACTTCATCTAAAAGCTAAATCCTTTTGATTAAATTCTTTTTTTTTGGTAAAATAAAGAAAAATATTGCTGTTTACATAAATTTTTAAAACTAATTTATTTAAACAAAATGGCGTCTTTATTTTTCAAATTTCGTCGATTTTGTTAGATGACGACATCAGGTTTCTACCTGGCTGTAGACAACCTTGCGGTTGGGTTTGGTTGGAGAGAAAACCAGCAACCAATAGGTTAAACAAAAATGTTGGACTTTTTAAAAATAAAATTCAACCTTAATCTTGTCTTTAATGCCAATCACCAGTTATAATTTGTTTTTGTCCTGGTAATGTCCGTTATTTAGGTGGAAGTGTAATGAGTCTGCAGGCTCTAGCCTGTTTAACCATTGAGGAGATGATTAGAAAATCTACGGATAGGTTTGATAAATCATAATTTTACTTTATTATGAAATCAATTCTAAACTTTTAAAAATGTTTTCTTTAGAGTTAAAGATCCAGGCTGCAGAAATTTAATCAGCCTTACTCCAGAACAACAGGTTTTATTGTCACGCGACTTCCTTTTTAAAAATTTGGAACATTTGAAGACTTTTAACTGTTCTAAGACTTAAAAAATGTTCGACAAAATTTTAAGAAGTTTTACAACATCTGCTTTTCTTGCAATATGTAAAATTAACCCCTGCTAGAAGATACATATTTGCATGAGCGGAATAAATAATTATCCAGCAAATCATGCAAATATTTTTTTTCTAAGGGTTAAAGTTTCATATACTGTGGTAGGCGTTTATATCAATATAATGAAGACGACTTTTTATTTTAATTGTTGTCAAGCTATTTTTAATTACAAGTTTACAAGTAATCAAAGAGAAGTTTTTTTAATTGCCAGCTTCCATGTTTTGAGTATCCATGCTGTTTAAAAGCCTAATATAAATCATAATTGAAATCGAAAGTCATCTTCATTATATTGATATAATCGCCTAACACCGTAGCATAAGAAAGGCAAATGTTTAGCAGACAACATTTTTAAATTTGTAAACCCTCACAGAATTTTGTGGAATCTTTTCTAACCTTAAAAGTTTTATAAAACGAACGAAATCAAATGCCCAACATTGTAACGTATAGCATTTCAACATACAATGATACCCAGAACACAATTAAATAGAAATACGATATTATAGCAATGCTTAAGTATATTTCATGTTGATACAAAGCAAAAGGTTTCTATAAACGCTTATTAAATCACTAATTTAGTGAAATTATGTCTCATACTCATTGGACTTAATAACGTTATAACGCTATTTCAGAGTTTTCTGGTTATCACTGTTCTAAGTGGCAGAGCTGTACTCCCAAGCTAGTGTAAATAGATCCAGACTGGGTTTAAAAAGTGGGATGAATGTTCAAGATTGGGTCGACAATACCGAGTCGCAACACCGCCTTTAATTTCATCTCGCTTATACTATCTCACCTCTAAGGGAAAACACTTTCACCCCCTTTATATTCGTGCAAAAGGAATCAAGTCTTTGCCACAAACTCAAAGGAACTGAGTTCTAATGATGGGGATCAATTTTAACTTGTATTTCAGGTCATTTATTTAATTCTATTTTCGTTGTATCTTTCATCCCCTTGATTCTTTTATTTCATATCATGAATTTCCTTAGAAAGGGGAGGCCTCACCAGCCCCCTCGTTCAGGAGCTCGGGGGGGGGGCCTGGGCCCAGGCCCCCTGTCTAATCCGCCCCTGGCTGAGTAGCATCAGTAAAATCTCAAGAAGACATAATCTGACAGTCCTAAGAAGCTCTATTAGCCACTCTCCATAGCACCAGTCAGAATGTGCATGCTCTCAATTGACTGGTGGGACGTTGAGTCCTTTCAATTTAAAACTATGTACTCACTTATACTTTTGTATATGTACATTTTACTTACTTATACTTTTGTACTTTTTTTAGCTTTAGGATTTAAAACTTAATTGGCAAACTTCCCATAGATTTGTGAGCGAGAACCTTAGAATCCCTGTGAGTGAAAACTAAAGATAATTTTTGCCACAAGGGAATTTTCTTTCTATGACTGCCCCATATATTTACACATACAGTGGTACCCATAAAACTATGGAATAGGAGGACGACTGTAAAAACTCATATTATGAACTTGAAATGAAAATGAAACAATCCCATTTGACTTAATAAGTTGATTTTCAAGCTCTTACAAACTTTTTGGTTTCCAATCAAATATAAAATGTCAAAAACTCATCAATTTGATTAAATGTCCTCTGCTCGTTCCACGGTCTGAGCATCACTTTATGAAAATAAATTTATTTCATATAATTCTGCTGTTTGTTTAGAATAGAGCTGAGATAATCCACGAGTATGTGTCTGATCTCTGCCCAAACCTTGTGTCGGAAATCCTCGAACGAGTTCTTTCCTATTCCGGGGACAACAGGTAATAAATTCAAGATGGCGTCTTTTCAAAATGGCGTCCTTCAAGATGACGTCAGTAAATAAGATTAATTTTATTTAAACAAAGATAATTTCAATACAATTACAAGATTGCAAACGTAAATGCAAGTGTGCCTGAAAAAAAGATTGGAAATTTGGGACAATTAAAATAATATTAATAAACTTTTTTGTAGGCGGAAAGCGTCTCCGATGGATATATGGGTTCTTATTCATCCAGGATTTAAGCAGGTAGTATCTACTGCTTAAAAGTGCATTAAACGTGTAATAAAATATAATTCAGGAATCATACTGTTGCAGCCTTCATTGCCTAATTAAAAACAGCTGTTCGTTTGAGAAACATTTTAGTTAACCATCTATATAGGTTGTAAAACTAAATAGATCAAATTGTACTCATGCAGATAGATTCATTCAAACTTTTTAGTATATAGAAATATATCAGACGATTGATTAAAGGGTGCCATTATGAATCAGACATGCATAATGGAAATTACGCAATTACAGTCTTTGAAATGTGAAGAAAATAATTTGTGTTTTTAGTTAAAAGTTCCAAGAAGAGATGAAAGAAGTTATCCTTTACCAAATACTCACAAGAGTATTATTGATTGTCTTTACAGGTAGATAATATACTGTAGGCATTCTGGGGGCTTCGCGCCACTCTTTCTTTAATAATTTAGATTTTAATGTTACTTTTATGCATCCAACACATTTTCTAAGATTTCTTTAATTTTGACCTGTCATAAACCAATAATTCTGGCATAAACCTGTCATGATCCCGATCACTCTTTATTCTTCGTACATTATAAAACTAAAATTTTGCGGATTGCGTTGTTAACATTGATGAATTTCCAAACAAACATTATATTTGACCCTTTTTTTCGGTGAAAATATTTTCAGTTTCGATCCGCCATTAACCTTCTCTCGGGTTATGTCAGATAAACAGTAAATACATTTTTGACTTTTTCTCGTATCTCGTCAGTCTTCGCCTGGTAAAAACTTGTACAGCAAATTATAGCGGATTTTTTGTAATGTCTTTTTAACTAGCAATAGTAGCTTTAAAATTCGACCCAGCCAACTTCATCAAAGCTAAATAAATCTTGTTTATGATGACGCTTGACCCAAAGTAATAAAAGAGTATGTATATGTATTTTTTATTTTGTTTATATTTTACATAATCAAATCAAATCATGATGGAAAATGAACATTGGTCATTAATTCAAGTAATTGTCTCAAAATAAGGAATAACTAATTCACACTTCTTGTTATTATTTTAAAGTTAACATTTCTTGTTTCAATTTATAATATTACTTATTTTTATTAAATATATGGTTGAGATTTCGGCTTGGATTTACAGATGCTGGAAAAAAATAACTTGGGTCAAGTATGTGCAAGTGTTAGATTTGTTACAAATTTCCCCTGTATTGATATTAAGATGTAAGTACCTGGAGTACTTGAATCTAATGTATTGATGTTAAGGTGTAAGTACCTGGAGAACTTAAATCTAATGTATTAATATTAAGATGTAAGTACCTGAAGTACTTGAATCTAATGTATTGATGTTAACATGTAAGTGGCTGGAGAACTTATATCTAATGTATTGAAATTAAGATGTAAGTGCCTGGAGTACTTGAATCTAATGTATTGATGTTAAGATGTAAGTACCTGGAGTACTTGAATCTAATGTATTGGTTTCAAGATGTAAGTACCTGAAGTACTTGAATCTAATGTATTGATGTTAAGATGTAAGTACCTGGAGTACTTGAATCTAATGTATTGATGTTAATATGCAAGTACCTGGAGTACTTGAATCTAATTATTGATATTAAGATGTAAGTACCTGAAGTACTTGAATCTAATGTATTGATGTTAAGATGCAAGTACCTGAAGTACTTGAATCTAATGTATTGATGTTAACATGTAAGTGGCTGGAGAACTTATATCTAATGTATTGAAATTAAGATGTAAGTGCCTGGAGTACTTGAATCTAATGTATTGATGTTAAGATGTAAGTACCTGGAGTACTTGAATCTAATGTATTGATATTAAGATGTAAGTACAAAAGTCTAATGGTAAAAACTTTCATTCACAAATTTTAAAAATCGTTAAAAATAATAATTTTATAACATCTTTATATTGCATAATGCATATTCTTCTACACATTCTCTAAAAAGGTTAAAAATACAACAGCAACATGCAGGGTGAGTAAAAAAATGTAATTATCACGAAAAAAAATCTTGCAATGCTTTCATTTAAAAACAATTTTATTTTAATAAAGTGTAACGAAAGAAACATTAAGGCTTGAACATTTTAATACAACGCAACGTATAGAATTTTTTTTTCAAATCATTCTTAGAAACGAAACGAATAAACAGTTTTGATTGTCAGTTGTAAAAAAGTGTAACAAAAAAGTTTTCACAATAACGTTTCGATAAATCGTAACGTAAGAAAAGTTGCATTTTAGTAAAATTTCTAAACGTAATTAAAAGAGTTTTTATTGGAAAAGTTAAGATAAAACGTAACGTTAACAAAAAATATTCTTTGCACTGAAATGCATTGTTACGTATAGAACTATGCCCCAATTGACGTTTTACGAAAGCAAAACGTTTGTTATCTTCTAGATCTTAAGCCAAGTGAAAATGTAACGTTAGGTCTCTGAAAATATTTACCTTGCATGAAAGTGGAACGTTAAAAAATTGTAGTTATAATACATCAGCTTTAACGCAACGTTGGGAAAGTTTTTTAAAACGGGAAATTCAAAAGCGTAACGGAGCTTACTGTTTTTCACTAACATTTACTAAAGCTTAACGTTGTATAAGGTATTCAAGTGCAGAGAATTCATAACGTAACGTTACTCTATGCCATAAAATTTCATAATGTGCAACGTAACATTTCAAACGTTAATACTTTTGATGAACACTATCGTAACGAAAGCTAAAATCTAGAAAAATCAAAACGTTGACATCTCTAACCTGGAGTACTTGAATCTGATGTATTGATGTTAACATGTAAGTACCTGGAGTACTTGAATCTAATGTATTGATATTAAGATGTAAGTACATGAAGTACTTGAATCTAATGTATTGATATTAAGATGTAAGTACCTGGAGTACTTGAATCTAATGTATTGATGTTAACATGTAAGTACCTGTAGTACTTGAATCTAATATATTGATATTAAGATGTAAGTACCTGGAGTACTTGAATCTAATATATTGATATAAGATGTAAGTACCTGGAGCAAATGAATCTAATATATTGATATTAAGATGTAAGTACCTGGAGTACTTGAATCTAATGTATTGATGTTAAGATGTAAGCACCTGGAGTACTTGAATCTAATATATTGATATTAAGATGTAAGTACCTGGAGCACTTGAATCTAAGTGGACTGGATGAGCACTCAACTCCTCCTGATTATAATGATTTCAAACACAGGTAAAGGAATTAAGTCTTTTCCACTCAATCAAATTATTTTACTATACTTCATTCATACTCGTAGCGTCAGTATTGAAATTTTATTTTATTTTTTAGCAAAAGGAATTGAGTCTTTGCCACATACTCTGATTTTCTAATCACGATATCTTTGAAACCAAATGTTCCCGACCTTAGATATTTTAAAATATGAATTCTGTTAGATCAAATAAGCTGAGTTTGAACTATTAAAGGTTTACAACATCGGGTTCTGAAGATATTGAGGTTTAAATATTTGATTTTGTTCCAAATACTCAATTCCTTTGAAGAATGATAATTCCTCTTATAAACTTTATTGAGGTTAGATTCAATTAACAATATTTATTTTTTATAACAATATAAATGTACACCAAAAAAACCCTCAGAAGTTGATAGTTTATAAATGTTGAATAATGATAATAATAAGTTGAATTGGTGCTGAAACAAATTGTTGATGAAAATTTAAATCTTTAAAGAAGGTTTGTGTCAGGATGTGACTTGGTTAGGGGTTTACAGTTTATTTCAGGCGATTGCACAGTGGGATGATGAATAATTCCTGTCATAGCTGAATTCCCACGCTAGTGTATTAAAGAGAGCTTCCTGAGTTGACCAGCTTGAACCTCGGAACCCTAGTCAATAATAATATCTGCCGGGCAGTCGGGAATACATGCAGCAATCTCAAGGAATTCAGGTACAAAACCATATTTCAGATATATCTGCAGGGTTCCCAAAAAACATGGGAATTCAGTGACGAGTTCGATATCGTCTTTGTTATGAATTAGCATTGTAATACCTAATTTTAAAAGCCATAATATTATTATATCTTCTAGAGTTTAATCTATGAAAAGGGTAAATGGCTATAAAGATGTGTCTATAATGTATCAGCAAGATGAACAGTGAAATTTCTTGTTTTACTAAGTACACGTACACCCTTATGCAGTCAAAACATAAACAAACAAAATGTGAACATTGCGACGAAATTCTTACAGATTACATCTTTTTCAGTATCCTCAGTAGGTATCACTATACTAAATCTAAGAATTATTTGAAAAGACGATATCCAATTCGTGACTGAATTCTTATGTTTATTGGGACTCCCTGTAGTAAAGATGTTAATATTGTTTTCTCTTTGATTATTGAAAATTAATTATTTTTAATTGTGGCTTCTCAATGAAGTGACATTTGATATTTCATACTTTGACTATTTGATCAGGTATATAGAATTCATAGTTAAAAATATGAAAGGTCTTAGACATCAGGTTACAAAGATATAGGGATTAGAATATCAGGATGAAATAAAATAAAATATTATATTTCTAATTGTGAGATAAAATCCAAAAATCAAATTTTATTTTCTAGTTCAAGCATTGTTAAAAATTATAAAAATAGTTTTTTTCTGTATTATGAAATATTACATTTCCAAATTTAACAATATTAGAAATAAAAAATTATCTTTCTTCATCTTTCTTAAATTTGAAATATGAAAAACTAATCATTTCAAACTAAATTGAAAATTATAATTTTTTCGTATGATACACTATTGAGACATTTTATGTGTAATAAAACATTTTCGTTCTAATATTAGAAATATTGAAAAATAATGAAGCATCTTTACTATATTAAACAATGTTGAAAATTAAGTTTTCATCTTTACATATTTATGATAAAATATTGTCTTTACTGAATTAGAAATATGGAAAAATAATGCATTTTCTTTTTTATTTAAAACTGTATATAATAATAAAACAAGACATGCATATATATGTTGCGTATAGGAGGCCAAATGGCTTGACCAATTGGGCTGAATTTTTTTGTGGACACTCATGGGTGGTCGGTAGGTTTTAGAGGCAAAAAATTAGAAATTATTTTTTCAAAATTTTTGTTTTCAAAAATTTTTTTCCACGAGCAATGCCGGGCCTCTCAGCTTGTCAAAAAATAACATAAAATATTTTCTTTCTTATAAGTTAAAAATTTGAATAAGTTTAAAATATTGAAAATAATTTAGCATCTGTGCAATTTTAGACAATATTTTAAAATATTAAAATATGTTCATAATGTTTTTGACAACCATAAAGTAGATTTCAAAGAGTTTTAGATTTCATTGATAGATGTACACTTGTTCAATAGATGTACCTTGTTCAGGGTGTCCCAATAGATGTACATGACTTGTTCAGGGTGTCCCAATAGTTGCACCTTGTGCAGGGTGTCCCAATAGATGAACAGTTTTTCAGGGTGTCCCAATAGATGTAGAGTTTTTCAAGGTGTCCCAATAGATGTACAGTTTTTCAGGGTGTCCCAATAGATGTACAGTTTTTGAGGGTGTCCCAATAGATGTACAGTTTTTCAGGGTGTCCCAATAGATGTACAGTTTTTCAGGGTGTCCCAATAGATGTACAGTTTTTCAGGGTGTCCCAATAGATGTACAGTTTTTGAGGGTGTCCCAATAGATGTACAGTTTTTCAGGGTGTCCCAATAGATGTACATGACTTGTTCAGGGTGTCCCAATAGTTGTATACTTGTTCAGGGTGTCCCAAAAGATATTCACTTATTCAGGGTGTTGCAATAGATGTACACTTTTTCAGGGTGTTCCAATAGATGTACACTTTTTCAGGGTGTCCTAATAGATGAGCACTTAAGTTCGTCCCAATAAAAGCGGGAATAAAGTGACGATGTTGAATTCGTCTTAGAAAATGACTGTTGGTATATTATGGTAATGCTATTGCTGTAAAGAAACGAAGTAAAGTTGTTCCTTTTTACTCTTCATCTTACATAAACTACAGATATATTACAGACTCATCATACAGAGTTAACCACTAAGCATGAGACTGTGAGGACGAATTGAAAATCTTCAAATATGACGGTACCAAGTTTAAATTAAGTCTTTTGCCTATATTGGGGATCTTACAATGGCGTATTCAATGATTTGGCAAAAAAAGAAAGAAGTTTGAAGTTGCAGAGAATCATGAATATGAGAAAACATGCAGTATAAATTCCGTAAGTCGTCCCTGAAGTTTCATCCTTTGTTGGTAACCCTGTAAGCAACGTTTTAATTCAATGAAATATATTCTATGCAGCTGTCACGTTATCATGCCCATTGAAATTATGTAATACAGCGCTAATTATTAACAAAGACGATATTTAGTATTCGTCACTGAATCCCCATCTTTATTGGTAAATCCTGTCAAAAATATTAAAACACGAGTCAAATTTTGGAGAATGAACGAAGTTTTTATAGAACGATGATGGGGACGTTCAGAAAACAAACGAACAACGAATGAACAAATTAAAACTAACGTTTTTTTAACGAAAAAACACGAACAATTTAAAATCGTTCAAATGATCTTGAAAAAATTATGTTTTTTATTGAACTTTCAAAAAAGAAATTTGAAAAAACGATTTTTTATTTTTGCTAAGCATAGTTTTTTTCCAACAAACTTTTGATAAACAATAGTTTTTTTACGAAATATAAAATAATTTTAAGAACGAACGAAATCAGTTGGGTTTAGAAAGATTTAAAAAACGAACAAAATGGTTCGTTCACGAACGATGACGGAACGACGGAACGGAACTTTTGAACAAGAAGATTTCAATTTATTTGACAGGCGTATAATACATATCGTTTGTAGGAAATATTTCATTTTTAACAGAACCACACTTGTGGTATTTCAATTTCTATTCATTTCCTAAAACACAAACAATATCTTATAATTTAATATTTATCTTATAATATCTTATATCTTTAACGGATCTAGGAATCAGATATCTGATCGGATTAAATGAATATTTAGGGTGCGGGGTCCAGTTCTTATAACGGATCTAGGAATCAGATATCTAATCGGATTGAATAAATATTTAGGGTGCGGGGTCAAGAGCTCCATAACGGATCTAGGAGTCAGATATCTGATCAGATTAAATGATTATTTAGGGTGCGTGGTCCAGCTCCTATAACGGATCTAGGAGTCAGATATCTGATCGGATTAAATGAATATTTAGGGTGCGGGGTCCAGCTCCTATAACGGATCTAGGAGTCAGATATCTGATCGGATTAAATGAAACGGCTCAAGATCTTTCTAGAAACAGGAGACCTGGATGCCTTCAGCTCAGGGTAATTAAACTCTAGTTTTCTAGTCCTTATATCGTTGCAACCTAATGTCATAGATCTTTGTTTTCTTTAAAGTGAAGTCATACTAAAAATATTATCAAAGGCTCATAAAAAGATGGTTGCAAAGATCTCATATAAAGATGGTTGCAAAGATCTCATTTAAAGATGGTTGCAAAGATCTCATTTAAAGATGGTTGCAAAGATATAGGGATTACATTTTTTTATAATTCCCTCCAGAACTTGGCAGTTGGCACCCGTAAATTATAAGAAAAAATACAAAAAACTGATTTTTACAATATTTTCTTGCTTTACATTAAATTGATATGATTGTTTAGGTAATTGCACTGATTGATAAGGTAATTGATCTGATTGATTAGGTAATTGATCTGATTGATCTGATTGATTATGTAATTGATCTGATTGATTAGGTAATTGATCTGATTGATTAGGTTATTAATCTGATTGATGAGGCAATTGATATGATTGGCTATGTAATTGATCTGACTGATTATGTAATTGATCTATCCTTGATTATGTAATTGATCTGATTGATTAGGTAGTTTATCTGATTTATTAGGTAATTAATCTGACTGGCTAGGTAATTGATCTAACTGATTTTTTAATTGATCTATCCTTGATTATGTAATTGATCTGATTGATTAGGTAATTGATCTGATTGATTAGGTAATTGATCTGATTGATAAGGTAAGTGATCTGATTGATTAGGTAATTAATCTGATTGATGAGGCAATTGATCTGACTGGCTATGTAATTGATCTGAATGATTATGTAATTGATCTATCCTTGATTAGGTAATTGATCTGATTGATTGGGTAATTGATCTATCCTCGAATAGGTAATTGATCTGACTGATATTGAAAAGCTGTCCCTGCACACTCTGACCCTTCTCCTCATACATCTAAGTAATCTCAGGAAATTTAATCATTTTCCATTCAAGAGAAATAAATTTACCGCTTTATTTATTTACTTTTACAAACCCTATCTTTTTTCTCTAACTATCTATATAAATATACTTTGCTTGTATGTTTGTTAGTTGGTTTGTGTGTGACCAATAAACGCCAAAACGGCTAAACTGTTGGTGGGACCTCACATGACCCCAGGGAAGGTTTGTGAATGATCCACGATTTTTTTATATAATAGAAGATGGACGGGAAGCGCTCTAAAAGCCTAGTACTAAAAAGCGTTGTGCACTAGAATGCACAGGAATTAAGTCTTTGCCACGAAGCTCGAATTTTCTAAACCCTATATCTTTGCAACCTGACGGTTCTAACCTTTGATATTTCTAACTTTAATCAAGTCGCCATTGGGTCGCAAAGTTAAGGATTAGGAAATCAGAGTTTGGGGCCAAGACTCAATTTATTTACAAGAAAGATATTTAAAATTGAGCTATTAGTCTTACATATTTGAAAAGTCCTTGAGAAATTGAAATATTAACATGTTTTGCAAGATAATATTTTAGCAAATATTTTTTTAGCATTTCTCCGACCCACTTTTTAAACTTATTGAATCTTTCCAACACCTTAACCATAAAAATGAATGGTCAACTTTTGAAAAATTAAGCAGACCTTGAAAAATTGAAAATTCAATACTTTTTTCGGTTCTTTCCTAACTTGAAGGGCAATATCAAAGACAAAACTAGTCCAACCTGGATAGAGGTAATGATTCATTGGTGATTTCTATTTTTCATCTTAAACTAACACATCGTGTATCATGTATGCATTATGCAGTACCTTTTTTTAAATTCATACAAATTTATTCGACCCAGCCCCTCTTGTGAACACAGTGTTTAGTGGACCCAGCCCGTCTTGTGAACCCAGTGCATGTTTAGTGGACGAAGTGGACCCAGTGAGTTTTATGCAAGAAAGGAATTGAGTTTTTGCCAAAAAACTCGGATTTTCTAACCCCTATATCTTTGCGACCCGATGTCGTAGATCTTAGATATTTCAAACTATGAATTCCGTTATATCAAATAGTCGTAGTTTGAAAAATCAAAGGTTTACACCATCGGATTGCAAAGATTTAGGGATTAGAACATTTAATTTGTGGCTAAAACTCAATTCGTAAACCTTCTATATTTCAAACTATGAAACTTTCTGCTCGATAAAATAGTTTGAAAATGTTAAGTTTTGAAATAAAATGAACAAAATGAATAAAATGAACCAGAATCCTGGAGCATAATCATCTGCATGAAGCACTCTGGCTTATGAATAAAACAGGGATGCAATCAGAGTAAGCTATTGAAGAGAGTAAACTCATTAAAGGGATCATAGTTAAAGGATTACAGCTATTAAAGGGATTACATTTATTAAAGAGATTACATTTATTAAAGGGATTACATTTATTACAGGGATAACAGTTATTAAAGGAATTACAGTTATTAAAGGCATTAAAGTTATTACAGGGATAACAGTTATTAAAGGGATCATAGTTAAGAAATTAAAGCTATTAAATGGATTACAGTTATTAAAGGAATTACAGTTATTAAAGGGATTACATTTATTACAGGGATAAAAGTTATTGAAGGGATTACAGCTATTAAATGGATTACATTTTTTACAGGGATTACAGTTATTAAAGGAATTACAGTTATTAAGGGATTTCATTTATTACAGGGATAACAGTTATTAATGGGATTACAGTTATTGAAGTTATTAAAGGGATTAAAGTTATGAAAGTAATTAAAGTTCTTAAAGGGATTAAGGTTATTAAAGGGATTAAGGTTATTAAAGGGATTAAGGTTATTAAAGGAATTAAAGTTATTCTGGCGTGGCTTTATTTCCAACGGACAGAAACCAACATACGTTTCATCCGAACTATAGCTATATACAATTAGCTAATGAGCACAGGACAGAACAACTTACAATCCGAGCTTAGCTCTGCAGGGTCCGTATCAGAACTGAAGGGGTTACATCAATGAAACTATCCATACTCCGAGCTACTGCGCCCATGCTGGTTACAGTACATCTGAAATAGAATGTTTAAGAATTGAAAGAAATGTCTGGACCTATATGATTATCCAAATGTCGTAGCTAATATTATTATTAAATGGAAAGTTACCTCCCCCCTCTTTTTAAGGGGGGGGGGGTAGGTCTTAGTACCCGTAACCCCCTTGTTAAGTCCCATACCCAGCTGTAGTTGAAATTCATGAATAAATTTACAGTTTTCCTTTAAAACAAATGTTCTTGCAATGCATGACAATTTATTAAAAACAAGGAAATTGATAAGGAACTGAATACTAACCTTAAAATTAATATTTATGATTTCATGATTTTTTAATGCATTCATGATTTAAAGGAAGTAAGTCTTTGTCACAAGCTCTGATTTTCTAATCCATAGATCTTTGTAATCCAACGTCGTAGACCTTAGATACTTTGTTAGATCAAATAATCAAAGTTTGGAATATTTAAGACTTAAACCATCAGGTTGCAAAGATATAGGGATTAGAACAACTGAGTTTGTGGAAAAGACTCAATTCCTTAGTCTATCCTTTTGAAAATCAGACATCCTGTAAAATACATTTTCAGACATTTAAGTTTGAAAATGATGTGTCTTAAAAATTTTCGATACCTGAAACTGATTTTTGAACATTTAAACCTGAAATTGACATTTTCTAAACATTTAAACCTGAACTGGTACTGACATTTTCAAGACATTTAAACCTGAACTGGTAATGACATTTTCTTGACATTTAAACCTGAACTGTTACTGACATATTCTAGACATTTAAACCTGAAACTGACACATTTTGTAGATATTTAAACCTGAACTGGTACTGACATTTTCTAGACATTTAAACCTGAAAATGACATATTTTCTAGACATTTAAACCTGAAACTGACGGGCTACAACGGTCGAGGCCCCGCACAGTGCAGTCCAGAGTACCTTGGTAACAAGCAGTAATGATAATATTTGAAATTAAGAATAAATGAAGGAACCGTGTAATTGACCAATTGTTTTAAGAAAATTGTATTCCCATCTTTTAAATTGTAAAATTGTTCAAAATTCAGTTCTAATATTACTTTTTTGACGGTTGTCCAAGTCCTTTGTCCAAAAATTAACAAATACATTTTTAGAGTTTGTCCAAGTTCTTTGTCCAAGAATTAACACATGCATTTTTAGAGATTGTCCAAGTCCTTTGTCCAAGAATTAACAAACACATTTTTAGAGATTGTCCAAGTTCGTTGTCCAAGAATTAACAGATACATTTTTAGAGATTGTCCAAGTTCTTTGTCCAAGAATTAACAGATACATTTTTAGAGATTGTCCAAGTTCATTGTCTAAGAATTAACAAATACATTTTTAGAGGTTGTCCAAGTCCTTTGTCCAAAAATTGAACAAATGCATCTCTGCATGACTTGGCCTGAAACTTTCTTCCCACTTAGTAGATTCAGGTAATTGGTCTTTATTTACACAGAAGAATAAATGTTGTATAGGTTAAGGGGACTGTATGCAAAATTTTAAGTGACCCCCCATGCAAGAGGGCATTGCCAGATTCACAACGGTACCATGAACACCTTTGTGTGTTCGTCAAGTGCAGAAATATATGTATATAAACTTTTCAATGCCAGCTTGCCTTTTATTAAGCTGCGTACACAGTACTGCGCTGTGTGCAAACTGAACGATTAACTTAGCGTACACAAGAATTTGCAGCTGAACACAAGCGGGTTTTGATGCGTTTACACACATATATCTCTGTACTTAAACCACACAAAGGTGTAAAGGGTACTGTTGTAAATCGGGCATTGTCCTCTTTGCGTGGAGGGTCACTTGAAATTACGATTTTAGTCCCTTTAAACTTTTGTTGGGTTGGAGATATTCAATCTTGATTTTGATAAATATTTATAATTGCACCATTGTGAATCGATGTTTGATTTTGAAACATTTTTGTTAAACCCCTTTTTAAGACTCTTGAATGTGGTGTCTTTTTCCAACGTTACTATTTTCTTTAAACCTCTTTATTAAACTTAATACAAGATAAATACATATAGTTCAGCTGAAATTAAATACACTTTAAAGGAGAATAGGCCCCTCTTCAGTCCATAAAGTTAATCACAATTATGGATCTGGATCTAAAGTTTAAACAGAAAACCTGCAAAAATGAACACAGGAACTCAAATTCAATTTCCAAGGAAAAAATGGCGGGGAAAAAATAGGGAAAAAATAAATAAAAAAATATTTCTTCAAAAAAATCAAGGAAGACATTACCCACCATAATATCGGTACAATTTGTGCTGGACATTAGGAAAACCTATATTTTTCAAAAAAAAAGATAAAAATGCATTTTGAAAAAACGTTCCCAGAGTTAATCATAATCTGACCTCCATGCAAAATCTCATGAAAATAGCTCCGAAAATGAAGGCGTGAATCTACCTTGAAAATTTTTATCATTTGAGGGGATATTTCCTCTTTTTAAATTTATAAATAAATGATTGTTAAGATAGCCGGTGCTTCAAAGTGTTTTACATACGTACATTTTATATTTTGAAATTAGCAAATAAATAATACATAACGAAAACACAAACTAATTTAAAAAAGAAAAGAAAAAAGAAGGAATTAAACAATAAGTGGTGAATTTTAAGGAATGAATAAATCTTGAAAACTTTTAATCCTAGTATTTTCGAAATTTGGTTGGACATTTTGAATTTTAAATCTATAACTTGCAAAAAATAGTTTTTTTTTCATCTTATTAGATTTGTTTTTCGATAAATCTCCATCATCTGTTTTGGCCAGACCCCGCAGGAAGAATATATTAAGAACTGCTTTACCATGTTTTCAAGAAAGTTTGAAAAATGACGAAAACATTAAAAATCCTTCAGGTCTTGGATAAAGTTTGAGGAAAATCCTTTGTAAAAATAAAACTTTTAAAAAGTTTAACCATCAAAACTTATCAGAATGTTTTTTTTTTCAGGGAAATTAGTCATCTCTCAATATACAGGAGTGTTTAACTGGAAGCAACAAATTTGTATTCATGTTTTTGTGAGAGGATTAATTATTGCTTTTTTTTAATATTATTGAAAAGAAATTCATTTTCTTGTAAATCTTAAAAGAAAAAATTCTTTCATGACTAAACTGGGAGCTGTAAACCCAATTGTCATATTTAGATAATTCACGAACTAAATGGGTGATTTTTTTCTTGTATCTTATTTGTTGGTTTTCTTGTATCTTATTTGTTGGTTTGAAAATCAGAGTTTCTTCTGTGGACAACTTTGATCTTCCTCTTATGGCCTTTGGACAAAAACTAGGTAATAATAATGGAAAATGGAAATAAAACGGTGGGGGGGGGGGNTTATGTACCAGAGGCTCAGTTTCATTTGCCATAATACTTTTGCCATAAATACTTTTGCCATAATTACATTTGCCATAATACATTTGCCATAAGTAACACTTGCCATAAATTACACTTGCCATAATGGTTACACTTGCCAGAATTACACTTGCTATAATTACACCTGCCATAATAAAAATTAAATTTGGTTATAATTAACAAACATATATGTATAATTTTTAATTAATTACAAATTACAAATATAATGCAGAGACAGTTCATTGAGCTATCAGGTTTAGGTACTATGGGAAGAGTATTATACTGTAGGACAATATTAGCAATCCTCTCATAGGTTTGAGGAAGAAATTCGGGTTCGAATTCCAGCTGAGCACATTTTAATCGAACATTTCCAATATTTCACTTCTGTAGACGAGGCATTGGCTACATATAGGTGTAGTTGTTGCTGTCTCGAACTGGTAATCATGGCAAATGAAACTGAGCCCTTCTAGACATTATTTTGTCATGCAAACAAATAATCGTTTAAAAGTAAAGTTTTTCTTTAAATAATGTGAAATATGTTAGGCGATTTTTCAACCTATAGCTATGGCTAGTGTTGGTTATCGTTTATGATATTTTTTTTGGCATATATTTTATCTCAGAGTCCCAATTTGGCATCTAGTGTAAGGAATAAAAGTGTTTTAAAAATTGTTTATTCGAAACATTTGTATAAACTTTGACCAGGGAAAAATTATGCAAAAAAGACAAAAGTGTTTAAAAATAGTTTTTGACTCCTTTTTTACTTTTTTAATGATAAAAATTCTGCAAAGTTTAATAAAAGCAAACTTAAACCGAATACAGTTTAAAAGTGTGGAAAGTTTCATAAAAAGTTTTTTTTTTAAACTAGCAAATATTTAATGCAAATAATGGTTATATTAATCTCATATCCTATTCCATGATACATGCATGTGTTTTTTAGTTAAACTTGAGTTGAAGAACTGTACAAACTTCCAGTCAGGAACTGCTTTAAATATTAGAAAATACTGCACTGCTTTACAAAGCCTTATTCTAGGTAAGCTAAGTATTTGGGGTGATTCGCTTTATTTTTTAAGCAGCGTGTTCAGGGGGGGGTAGTAGTCCTCTTGACCCCCCATGGAATCTCATGAACAAAGCTTTAAATGCGCATAAAAAGTAGTTCAAAATATTTTTAGTTTTAACCTAGTATTTCATTTTTTTACTTAAATCCCCAAACTCACAGACAAACAGACAAACAAACAGCAACAGAAGTTAAAAATAATTGTGGTAGTCGGGCTGCTTAGTGAAGCAAATATTTTTTCCCTCCTTATTCCAACATCTTTTACCGTAACCTCTTATAGAAATTTATTTTCTAGCGGTAAATTTACTAAATCAAGATTCCATTGAAACATAAAATTTAATTTGAGAATTTTGGGATAACAGAGTTTTATCCAGATTTGAATCTTGCTAAAGCAACCATAAACACTTGCCACAAACTCTAATTTTCAAATTCTTATATCTGTGCAACTTTTATATCTCAAACTTTGATAAATGAATAAATAATCGTTTTATTTATAAATAATATTTAGAGATAGACAGTACTGACGCAAATAGTAATGCTGGGCTTTCAGAAGCCCTCGGAGATCAAAATATTCTTACTCTTCAAAACCAGGCAATAATTTCAAATTCTTCTTACTCTGTTTGTTTGGAAATATTTATAATTTTTATTTTATATCCCCTCTTAATCACTTTATCGTCCTGGCTAACTTCTTTATTGTTCCGGATCCATCCAAAACTGTAAAGTATGTATTTTAGCGAGACTTGTTTTAAAACAAAAATTTCAAATTTTCTACAAAAAGACAAGTTTAAAACTTTATTCTAAGTTTTTAGTCATTAAATTTATTCACATAAATATCAAATATTACACATGAATTTAAAATTAGATTGTTCGAGCCAAAATTTTCCTATACACTTTCTACTGAAACTTTATTACTCCTGAAAAATATTAAAGGGATTGTTGGCTTAATTTCATGTGTAAACAATATCAGACTCACAAGGGTATTATTTAAACCTTCATATGACCAAGAAAAAATGTGATATTAATTTTTTCTTCTAAACATTGATAAAGGAATTGAGTTTTTGCCACAAACTCTGATTTTCTAACCCCTATATCTTTGCGACCCAATGTCGTAGTTCTTAGATATTTCAAACCATGAACAATGTTTGATCAAATGGTCGTAGTTTGAAATATCAATGGTTTACACCATCGGGTTGCAAAGATATAGGGATTAGAAAATTTGAATTTGTGGCTAAAACTCAATTCCTTTAATTATTGTCATCCTGTACATGCAGATTTGTGGAATTATGCAGTAGGCGAAGGATAAATTGTTAAAATTAAACTTGTTTCAAAACGATAATATTATTCTTTTTCTTATTAATATAAAGGTTTAACGGGTATAGTTGATGCGTTCACAGTCCCTTTAACTTTGAAAAAATGTTGAAGAATAAGAATAAGAAATGTTTAACACAAGATGAATAAAAGATACAGATATGAACAATATTAGAATTTATAAACATTAAGATTAAGTTTACATTTTGCAACTTCTTAATATTCACGGGAATACCTACACAGGATAAGACTTCAAAGATAATTACTGTGCAAAATTCATTTAGTCTTTTAACTAACTTTAATGGTTCTCTACAATTTTAGGTTGTCATAAAAGTCTAATACTTTGTGGGTAACCCTTGACATAAAGTGGTTTTCACAGTTAGAAATAAAATGAGATTGAAACTACATAACAAAAGATAGGAAAAGACATTTTACCAACTCTAAACGCTGTACCTTTTCAAAAAATTGTTTCAAAATAATAGGAAATAATTTATTTTACTGGACAGTGTTTGATGTTCAGGTGTCAAGTCTACAGGATCGACTGAACACTCTCCAGATGACCATGCTGAATGTGATGAACAAATATGGAAACCTCTCCAGGCATAACAGCATTCAAGCAAATTCAAGGCGCTCTTTATCAAATATTTCACATTGCAATTTTCAGGAATTTAAACTCGATATTTCTAATTCTGAATCTTTGCAATGCAACGAGATATTGTAAACCTTTGATATTTTTAACAATAAATTTTCATTGGGTAAATGGTCGAAGTTTAAAATATAAAAGGTTACACCATCATGTTGCAACGATATTGGGATAAGATAGTTTAAAATCTAAATCAATAAAATATTGTGCATTCCATTGAATTAGGAATCCAGAAAAAATTATATTGAAAAAATTAATGTATCTAACTATCCTATATATACACCTCTGTTGTCTAAATTGAACCCTCTTTCAGGGGGTTCAGGGGGTTGTCTAAAATCTATGCTTGAGTAGGATGATTTCAATAAATAGTTTCTCCAACATTGAACATGTTATTCTTGCGGAAAGAAAACAGTCTTGACCGTTAATAGGGTCTAAAAAGCTGAGGGGGAGGGTTCTTGTCAATATGAGATCTTAGCAATAAATTATGGTAGACCGTGGATGTTCAAATAATCCTGGAGTATGAAATAGATTCATCAGTTTTCAATCAAATTAAATTTTCAGATCTAATCATTAGTATTTAATCAGATTCTTTTTTACTTCTAAAAACTATAATTCGTACACTTATAACTGTCATTAGGTTGAAGATCTCAATAATAGTCTCATTAAATTCTTGATAATATTGGCAATACATGATAATATTGGCAATACTTGATAATATTGGCAATACTTGATAATATTGGCAATACATGACTTATGCTTCCGAAGTATGCTGGACATGCAAAGCGAAAGAATCTAAGAGAATAGAATATATATTAGAGAGGAATTTACTAGAAAAAAGTGTAAAACGGCCATTTACTGTTTCCATACTGCAGGTGTACTTCACATATTTATGCTATATAACCTTTTGGGCCCTGGAATATCATTTTATAGAAAATCTAAAATTAATGTTAAAAGAAAACCAAATTATGAAATAGGCTGGTTTCATAATTGACCAATGATCATTTCACTTTACAAACGATGATTTTCCGTTATAACTATAAATCAAATGATGTTTTTTATTCACCTAATTCATTATAAAGTTTATTTAACAGCTTTAAAAAATTCGAAATTGAAATGAATAGTCTAGTGAACATACTGTATTAATGTATTCTACTGCATATAATTTGTGAACATTTACATGATTTGTACACTTTGAACTCCCTTTCAGGCTGAAAGGGACTGACAAAATTCATACCCTCTAATATATATTCTATTCTCTATGGAAAGAATACAGGAACCAAAGGCAAGTGAATTTCCCACAAAATTAAACTGAAAAGTTTCAGAAGCGTTCATTTAGAAGATATTTGAGACTTTAACTGCATCCAATCTAAACACTTTCAAGTGTTTTTGCTGAAAGGGAACTGAAGTTTCTGGTTGTTGTAGAGATTAAATGTAAACAGAGAAGCACTATTTTCCTATCAAATTGATGTCTTATGGTGCTTGTATGCCAAAATATTGTTTTTAAAGATGAATTCACAATTTCATTTACTTTAAAATGGAAACTAGATGTAACTTCAGATTTCTCAAATTATTAAATTAGCTGTCCTGTTGATACTTCTTTAAAATCTATTCACCAAAATTTATTCAAATTAATGTGTATAACCTGCTTAGACATGGAAATTAAAGACATTGCAGTTTTTTATTTTTAAATAATCAGTTCCTCAATGATCTAAAATTAAGTGAATACTGTGATTAATGCTGATATGAATATAGATTAGAACACTTACATTTAAAGAATCTGAGTATGGGAAGCCTGCTTATTCTTCTACCTTTTGCACCAAATCTAGGCATGGATAACAAACCAAAGACGAACTGGTGATCCCAGAGTTGCTTGTAAAAAAATTCAAATTTTGAAAGAAATGATTTAGCTAATTTGGTCAAACCATTAGGCTAACTATGGCTAACAAATAAATATACAAATATATACTAAGGAGCGAAGAGCTTTATTATGTAGTTTTAAGATTAGCTGAACAAGGCTATATTTAGTTCAGCCATCTCTTCTATCGATATTTAGTTCAGCCATCTCTCCCTATTGATATATGTAGTTCAGCCATCTCTTCTATCAATATATTTAGTTCAGCCATCTCTCCCTATTGATATATTTAGTTTAACTATCTCTCCCTATTGATATATGTAGTTTAGCCATCTCTCCCTATCGACATATATTCTAAACTAGCCTTAGAGGGCGCTTCGCGCCCATCTTCTAAATTAATTGTGAACATGTTCTCTTTGTGTACATCGTAAAACAAAACAAAAATAATTTGCGGATTTTCACAAAAAATTTCGTGGATTTTCAAAATTTTCAAAAATTTAATGAAGATCGAATTTTGATGGAGACAAATATTTGAAATTTTGATCATTCATAAACCTTCCCTGGGGTCCTTAGATGTCCCACAAAAAATTGGGCCTGATCGGTTCAGCCGTTTTGACTTTTATTGGAAACAAACAGACAGACAGACAGACAAACAACAAGACAAGCCAAATTTATATATAGATGCTGCTTGGCATGCTATCTACTTATCTATTTATACATATATAAAGTAGTAATCTGTGATTGTCTGTCTGTTTGTGTGTCCGATTATAATTCACGAACTTCTTCACCAACTTGCATCAAAGTTTGATTAAGGAATTCGGTAGAATTACGCAAGCTTGGGTCAAAAATTTAAAGCTTAGTGGGGTGACTGTATTTGAGAAAGTTTTGATTTCCAAGAAACGGAAAATTTTTTTTTTAATTATTCAATCTTTTTGATTTGGTTTGTATTCTTTAGTGAAGTTAACACTTAAGTTTTCACTGAGGTAAAATTTTTAAAAAATCATTTTTTAAAATTAATTTATTTCATTAATGAATTAATGTTTAGAAATTATATACTTTTTAGAAGCGATGAAGCTGCTCCAAATCTGACAGATTCACTTTTCCTGAAAATATTTGAAAAAAATAGTTTTTCTAAAGTGCAGGTACGTATTCTTAAATTTCCTTTATCTTTTAACTTTTCTAATAAAACTTGTAATTGTTCAAGATTTGTCATCTTACCTTCTTTAATATATACTTTGCTTGTCTGGCTGTCTGTCAGTTTGTATCCAATAAACGTCAAAACGGCCCAAATTTTGTGTGGGACTTCCCATGTCCTCAGGGAAGGCTTATAGTGATGATCACAATTTCAAACATTTGCCTTCAACAAGTTTTGATTTTCATTAAATTTTGAAAATCCACGAATATTGTTTTATAAAATTCGCAAACTTTTTTGTTTTTTCTTGTTTTGTTTTACAATGTATACAAAGAGAAAATGTTTATAATTGAAATGGAAGATTAGCGAAGACTAGTTTTTTAAATTAGCATAAGAATGAATTTTGTTATTAATATTTGACTTCACCAAAAATTTAAAATTGATCTTTAAAATCTTTAAAACTACATATTTTTGGGTTTTCTTGTTCTTTACAATACAGCTGAAGTAAATTATGGCTGTACATACTCATAAAAATAAATAAGGATGCAACTTCCTATTAAATTATTCTGATAATTCTTTCTTGTTAATTTCTTTTGTCAGAATTAAATATTTTCAAAAACGTTATAGAGAGTATGATTTTGAAATATGATAAATTAAATTAATGAAAACGATATCCTAAACTAGTATTATTAGAAGATTTATATCATGATGTTCTAGGCTATTGAAATCTGGTGTAAAACTCTATCAGTTCGCACAGCAGAATGGTTTGTACATAATTGTACAGAACTAAAGTCTCTAAAATCTCTTTCATTCTGGTGAGTTGGTTTTCTTTGTTTCACTTTATACAGGGTGTCCCAATAAACATGGAAATTGAGTGACAACTTTGAGATCAACAATTTAAATGATTTTTGAGCTAGTATAAGAGTTGTATCTTAAGAGGGAGGGGGTGCATGGCTGCCATGACCCCACCAAAATGGTCTCCAAAAAGCAGGATTTGCTGAATAACCTCTCCCCCCTCAGAAAAGCTATTTTTGCTGTTTTTTGTTTTGTTTTTGAGTTTAAAATTGGATGTTAAAATGTTAATTCTTAAAAAAGACAATCTTTAAGTTGTCAACAATTCCCATGTATAGCGGAAGACCCTACAATTTAAAACTAAAGATTGAATAAAAATTAATTTACTCAATTAAAAAAAATTATTTTTGACACACAAATGCTCTGCAATCAGTCCAAAACCAGATACTTTGGAATCATTTTGAAATACATTTCTCTGAACTGAAATCAGTCTAAAATACAATTACCTGAAATAGATTTTATAAAATGAATCTAAAACACAAAATCAGTCTAAATTAAAACTGTTTGGAATCAGTTTAAAATACAATTCTCTGAAATCTGTCAAAAATACATTTCCTGGAATCAGTCTAAAATACAAATCTCTGGAATCAGTCTAAAATACATTTCTCTGGAATTAGTCTAAAATACAATTCTCTGGAATCAGTCTAAAATAAGATTCTCTGGAATCAGTCTAAACTGCAGTACTATACAGGAATGTGAATGAGGAAGAGCAAGTAGCACTGTGGCGGGAAGGAAGAAGAAGAGAACCTGTTCCTGTGGAAATTGATTTCTAAATTGATTCTAAGAAAATACAACTAAAATAAAATAAATATTTTTCAATTATCCAAGTATTACTTACAGTAGTGTGATTTTATTCTCTTCTAAAAAAGAATAAAATTTCAGATGTTCTATTAATAATGTGTAAACTAGCAAACATTTTTTGTTCTCTTCTTTCTGACTAGAACCTTACTATTCTTCTTGTTCTATTCTACTTTAAAAATTGTTCTATTCTACTTTATAAACTGTTCTATTGTACTGTAGAAACTGTTCAATTGTACTGTAGAAACTGTTCAATTGTACTGTAGAAACTGTTCTTTTCTACTTTAGAAACTGTTCTATTGTACTGCAGAAACTGTTCTATTGTACTGTAGAAACTGTTCTATTGTACTGTAGAAACTGTTCTATTCTACTGTAGAAACTGTTCTATTCTACTTTCTGCCACAGACAAACAGGTCCTTTCTTATTATAGGGAATCTGACTCAGGGATTACTTCAGACACGTATGGACAAAGATGGGTTTTTAATAGTGAAATTAACTAATTGATGGGTTTTGTATATCATAATAGATACAGGTTTAAATGATTGGGCGTGGCTACAAAGTCTTATTTAGAAGTTTAAAGTATATCCCTTACCTAAAAGTACGATATCTAGACTCTTACCGGTCTGGGAATAGAGAAAAGGACTGATTGGTACAATCTCCAGTTTGACTCAAACTTCTCAATAGGTTCAACTCCTTTCCTCTTGTCCTTCCTCTCCTGCCAATGGTGACATGGAAACGCCTCAACACGGAAACGCCTCAACGCAGAAATGCCTCAAAAAACAGAATCAAAAAACTAATTTAATGTCGTCTTCTCTCAACTTAAAATTAAAAAGACCATATTCTAACGATTTTCTCAGCTATGGCCGCAGCGCTCGGCCTCCTAGCCTGTTCTAGCCGCAGCGCATGGCCCCTAGCCTGTCCTAGTCGCAGCGCTCGGCCCCGTAGCCCATCATTGCCGCAGCGCTCGGCCCCCTCCGTAGCCTACGGCGCAACCTAACTTACCCTAAATTAATGGTAAAATAATTGGTAAAATATCTTTTTTAATGAGAGAAGACGACATTAAATTAGTTTTATGAGTCCGTTATTTTGAGACATTTCCGTGTTGAGGCGTTTCCATGTCGCTGACTTTGTATATTTCCAGAATAGAGGAGGAAGATTAATTTCTACCAGGATGAATCAGAAGATCCAAAGAAACTATTAAATCGGGAATGGAAAATGAGGAAAGAAGAATGGAGGAATGAGTAAGGAAGAATGGTAGAAGGAGGAATCTATTCTAAACCTGCATTTCCACTTTAGAACTAATCTTACCTTGAAGGGTGAGACAGGAAGAAAAAATGTTGTGCGAGTGTTTAGTGTGTGGTTTATGAATGAACCTTAAATCAAGGGTGCTTGGTGCCACTCAAGAATTTAGATCTTACTTTCTTTGTTTGATTATAATAGAAGATTCCCTTATAAACTAGAAATTAACATAAATTTGTAATAACAGAATTTTAACTATTCAAAAATTACTTATTTCTGGATTTCAACTTTAGAAACTGTTCTTTTCTACTTTAGAACTGTTCTATTTTACTTCATAAACTAACCTGTTTTACTTTAGAAACTGTTCTATTCTACTAAAGAACTTTTCTATTCTACTTCAGAACTATTCTACTCTATTCTACTTTAGAAACTGCTCTATCCTACTTCAGAACTATTCTACTCTATTCTACTTTAGCAACTGTTCTATTCTACTTCAGAACTATTCTACTCTATTCTACTTTAGAAACTGCTCTATCCTACTTCAGAACTATTCTACTCTATTCTACTACTTCAGAACTATTCTACTCTATTCTACTTTAGAACTATTCTACTCTATTCTACTTTCCTGTGTCTGAGTATTAAACTAAAAAGTTTTTACTACAAAGTAATTACATTTTCCTCCAAATTCCTTTCAAAGAATTCCACAATGGAACCTAACAAGGCTTTTTTTTTAAAAAGAATGTAAAATATTTTACAATCAAAATTACTTGGTTTATTAATGAGCCATACTTTTGCTTAATAAGATTTAATCAATTTTACTTTCGTAAATTTAGGGTTTCCACATTTTCGTTCAATCTCTTTCGCTAAAATTTTGTTCAACAAAAATGTGAATGAAAACGAAAAATCTCTTTCATTTTCGGGAAAATTCTCCTTACAATTTTTTTTGCAAAATTTTCGTTATTTGTTCGTAATTTTGGTAAAAATATTCGACTTTTGTTCAAAATTGTATTTGTTTCCCTCAAAAACTTTCAACAAAATTTTCGCAAAGTTTTAACCTTATTTTACCAACATTTTTAATACTACATTAAGAGATTTTGAATTTTTGTTAAAACTTTTTGTCTAAGAACTGTTTAATTGATTAATTCAAAGTTTACAGCTAAATTTGCTAATTTTAACATCCCTTACACATAGCAGTCGTTGCAGAAAAAAATTTAACTCTTAAATTATTTACCAAAGATTCACATGAAACATGGTACTCAGTCATTTAAAAGTCATCATGTTCGGTTGAACACAACATAATATAGGGTGTCTCAATACACATGGGAATAAGGAGATGCCTTGAATGAATATGGTCTTTGATATCTGATAATTTTTAAGATCTAGATATTTATTATATTATATAAACTGCACAAAATTGTTCACATGTATTTAATACAACTATTTTACGATACTATCGTGTACATATATTCTTAGATTAATTAATAAAAAATCAAACGGATACATTTTATCGTTTTTCCTGTTACAATTGATGTTACGTTTATATTCAAGTATTGATAAGACTGCATTTCAGGATAAGAAGGAAAAAA